TTGGACCTCGATTTTTATCTATGGCGCGAGGTTAAGTTATCGGGACACTGAGACCGATTGAGTTCAAGGTCGACCAAGATCAAGATCAAGATCAAATAAGATGGAGATAGAAGATAAGTCGAGTAACAGAAAACCGAGATATCCGGAATCGGCCAAGGATCATGACGAGAATCTCGGCACTAATCAAGTCAAGACCGGTTGTTCAACCAATCATGGGATTTCATTCAGTAATTAGAGTTATGCCATAATTAGGATTCATCTATTGTATAAAGAGGAGTCTCAATCATTTGTAAGGGACTACATTCACGAATATAAAGGCAATATAATATTTATTTTTTCTGCTCATCAACTTGATGCTCTTTAACTGTTCTTACTCTACCAAGCTCGAGGGTTCATTAGCTCGAGGGCATGAACAAAACACTGGTTTGCTTTGTATTATTGTCAATTTGCATCATTTGTCTATACGTTTATCAATTGGTATTAGGTGAAATCACATATCCTTAAAACCATATTATAAGTTTAATTGTTACTCAATTTTTAGGGTAAACAATTATTTCAATCTTACTTTGTTAAATTTTTTTTATATGTTTAGTAAAATTTGACAAACATATGATATATTAACATATTCTTATGGGAGAATTTTCTTAGTAACATGTGATAGTTATTTTTTTAATCGCCTGACAATATTTTTTCGTTGATATACACTTTCAAGGTTAACTGAATTTAATAATTAAATAAAAAAATTAATATGATACCTATATATAATGATATGTTCTATTTAATTTTAAATTATCGAAATACGACTTCAAATTCGAAAAAGATGTACGAAGTTTGATAGATCTTGACATATAAATATGGAAGAATAAAGAGATTGATGCATTTTCACTAATACATGATAAGAAAGTGATCATACAACTCATTATTTAAAGTTAATAAAAATAGAGCACTTCATATTTAACTAAATATTACATCCCATAAGAGAATCTCAAATATTTTTAGACATTTTTTAAAAAGAAAAGTCTATAAAAAGTCTTAAAAGTACATATAAAAATTATATATTTATATGTCAGTTTGGTTCGAATTTTTTTACACAATATTATACTAAATCAAACCAAATCTAATTGGGGGCTTTATCGGTTTGATTTGACTTTTCAGTTTAGTGCAATTTTTCGGTTCGATTTGTACACCCCTATTAATGACTATTTATACGACTTAAACTCATAACCTATTTGTCATGTAGAGGCAAATTTATCGATTACTCCCAGACTTCCACTTCAACGAAAACCACCAAGAAGGACAAAACAAAAGGTAAAAGCAACAAATAAGAAAACCAAGATAATTGAGTCAAAGAAATGTACGCGTTTGTGATTGTTAAAATTTCTTGATTACATGAAGTTTAATAATTGATTGAGAAAAGTTGAATGATGACAAGCAACTTAATCACTGTTTTTGATTGCCTAATTGCATATTAATATTTTTACTTTCGAATTTCCCAAGGTAAAGAAACTCCCCCACCCCACCAAACCCCAAAACTAAATAGCGTGCTTTTGTTGGTTCTTCTCTTTTACCTAATTACCTTGTTGGTTTAACAAAATTAATAATGGTATGAAATTTATTTATTTTCTTCTACCTTTTCTTTTCATATAGTTGACAAGAACAGCGAAGTCTTTCGCTTGCACATAATTACCTAAATGAGATATTATATGTGTCCTGAGTGCGATTAAGGAATACTACATATTAAGGTGTTCTTTTATAATTTTCTTAATATTTCTATAGGTAATTATTACCAATTTCATAGAGTATTTGGAATAAGCAGGGAATGTTTAGATTTTTTTTTAATATTACAGAGAAGGTTAATATAATTAATAACAAAATTGAAGGGGTACAAGTGAAATTATCTTGTACTACTGTGGAGTATATTACTCTCTCCCGCCAAAATAAGTGATTTTTTAGTTGTTTTCACACAGATTAAAAAATTCATCTTTTAACATTAATTAATAATGAAATTGACCATATTAACTTTTACTATCTATTCACATAAATACTTCTAACACATATTCTAACATTGTTTACTCCAAGGACAATGTAGGAAGAAAATAATTAATTTATTCTTAAAATCTTGAAAAATCATTAATAAAAAAATTAAAAAAATTATTTATTTTGGATCGGAGTATGATCGTGTTTAATTTTGTTAGAGTTTTCGGTTGGGAAGCAGGTAATTCTTGGAATGAGGTTTGGTGCAGTGAAATGAATGGTTTCTTTTGTCTATAAAGAAGCTGCATATGGATTGATGTCTTTTTCCTAAAGTTTTCACTCATTTTTCAATTCCAATGATGTCAAATGGAATATTTCTATCCAATATGTATTTAAGCTATATATTCACAATGTAAATTTTATTACACTAAAAAATACTTTCTTGAGCCGAGGTTATCGGAAATAGTCTTTATGCCTCACACAAGTTAGGGTAAAGTCTGCATAAACATCATTTTTTTCATACCTCACTAGTAAAATTAGACTGACTATATTATTGTTATTGTAAATTTTATTATACTATTAGTGTTGTTCTAACTTATAATAGTTGATTTGTTGTTACATAAATTAGTATTTATTGAAAATAAAAAAAATTAGTATTTATTGAAGAAATTTACCTTAATTATTTTATACGTGTAAATATCAAAATTTTATCGGATAGAATAGCTTCCAAGTTAGGGTTTCATATAGAGTAGTCTCCAAAGAACCTTGATGGACTCTACTTATAGTATCTTAAATTTAGGATTTTGCCCAAATTTCATATGAATTTGATCCGATAAAATTTTGATATCTACAATTCGATATTTTATTCTGTAAATATTTTGTACGTCATCGGCATATAGAAATTAAACTCATCCAAATGATTGATCGATCTTGTTTTGGGGGGTTAAAAAAAGGGAGACTGAAGAAAAAGAAGTACCATATTTTTATTTTTATTTTAGTTAAAAGAAGTATTTTTCTCAATGCCAACACGACACTTTTCTAGAATCCGAGGTTGCCTCCTCTTTCACAAAGCTTAAAACTGTTTAATTTATTTAGCTTTTAGGTCAAACCATGAGACAGCCACATTTTTATAGGTGCTTTATGAATTCTTTTTATGTATTTATTTATAAAACTATAAGTTAAAACCCTAAAATTATTTAATAATTATTTTACCATCTCGATCATTTATTTGACATGTTTACTGGTTTTAGTACGATTTTAGTATACTTCTCGGGTATTTCTTAGACTTCTTTTGAAATCAGATTATCTTTAATAAATAAGTTTTTAGACTCAATTTCTTTATACTTTACTTACATTCAGGTAATTTATTTCACCTTATTTTTTACTTCCTTAATTAATAAGAGAAATTCATGATAATATTTTTCTTCTTACTTCCTCTTTTCACAGAACCAAATATAATTCACTTTTTATTTTTTACACTGAAACAAACATAAGACTAAAAGTTGATCAAAAAAGAAAATATTGTACACCTTTGGGGGCCATATTGAGATCTAAAAGTAAATGCATTAAAAGCATAATATTCGTTTGTTTGGTTTCTTTTCAATTCCATTTAAGGCTTCTTTTTCCTTTATTTAGTTTTATATTATTTACACTCTTTCTTTTATTTCTGAAACCTTGTTTGCTTCCTCCCCTTCTTTTGGGGGAAGAGGAGACGGGGCGTGGACTCGCATTTAGGCCAATTGCATGCCTTAGTCCTAAAATAACAACATATTTAACTTTTATATAGCGTTAGTGTAAAAAAAAATTACAAAATTAATTTTATTAAAAACTAATGATATGTAAGTGTGAATTAGTATCCGAAATAAGGTAAGTAACTTGCTAAATTGGTTAAATAACCTATTTTGTGTAGCAAATTTTACTCTATCAGTACGTAAAATTTATATAAATCTGTATGAATAGGAAATATCCGATTCTTTTGAAATATGCCACAATAAAATATGAAAGGTCGAAATGCAATTCTTTTGCATTTACCTACTGTGCTTCTTCGAGAGAATGTATTTTGATGAGCCCAATGCCAGCATGATATAGGCCTAAATGAGTATTTGGGCTTCCTACTCAATTGGGCCTAACTGTAACTTCATCCAGGAAGAATGAGTAAAAATTGCATGGGGCGCCCCTTTTTAACCTATAGCTGCTTTGTCTTTCTGTTTGCATCCGTACCCGTTTTTTTTTTTGTTAAAAGCCTTTTAAAAGACTATTTTGCCCTTCTTTATTAAAAGACTACTTTCTTTCCAAGTATATGCTAGTCTTTTACTGTCTCTGTCTCTCGTTATTCGCGTTTTTTGATTTGTTCTTTTCTGAAATCAAACGATTTTCGTCATTGTTTTGATTTTTCAACTACTAGTCGTTGTTGTTCCCACATTACGATTTAATCACAGGTACATTGCATTAACTTTCTGGGTTTTATTTCTGGCTTTGGTTTTGATAGTCATGTATTTATGATTAAATAGTTTCTTCGGGTTTAGTTTGATAATTGCATTAGTTTTATATTTACGATTGTGTTTTTAGGTTTTTTGAACGAGTTTTTATATTGTTGATGAAAATTCTATAAATTCTTTAGTGATTAGACGTCCAAATTTTTAAAATTTTTGAGAGTTAAATAGATGATACTATTAAAGTGATGATACCTTAGATAGGAGCTGAAGTTTTTTTTCATATTTTAGCATTGTTTTTGGATTTGAATTTGTGTTTTATTTTTTTGTAAAAACTACAGCATGTTGCTGAATGTTTTATGTTTTGTAACTGGTGAACTTCAGCTTTAGGAGCTGAAGTTTTTGTTTTTGTTACTGGTGAACTTCAGCTCTAGAGCTGAAGTTTTGTTTTGTAACTATCGAACTTCAGCTCTAGAGCTGAAGTTTTTGTTTTATAACTGTCGAACTTCAGCCTTCTTAGAGATTGAAGTTTTAACTGATCTTTTTTATAATGTCCCGATGTTATTTTTTGTATGTTTTGCTTTTTTTGAACAGATGGCACCTAAAGATCCTAATGCAGCTAAAGTACGCAAAGCAGCTAATGCCCCTAAAGCACCTAAAGCACCTACACAACCTATAATACCCTCAGGTCCTTATGTCCCTGCTCATCCACCTACAAGACCAGGGCAAAGATATTTTGAGTTTCGAGATTGGCTTAACTGTAAGGGTTACTGGAAGGGGAACCACGATTTGAAGAAATTAATTACAACTTTCTTGACTCCTACACAACGGGATAAGCTTAATAATGGTACATTTCAATACATTATGGCTATGGAGAATTTCAAATGCAGCATAAAGTTGATTTATTGTCTGTGTCTTTCTCGAATATTTACGAATGATCGAGACTCGATTAGTTTCAAGATTTTTGGCCATGATGTTTCCTTCACCCTTGAAGACTTTCACATTATGTGTGGTTTGCGGATCACAACACATAATGTTAAAAAACCAATTAATCGAGAGAGCAATATTCTGAAGCGCTATTTTGGTAAGTCCAAGGGTGTGACTTTGAAGGATATTCGAGATTTTATGACTCGGAATGAAATTCCAAAAAATGTTGTGAATCACATACACGTATGCAAAAGCGATGATGATGCTGTGAAGCTTATGGAAATTCTTGTTGTAGAGTCTATTTTGTTTGGGAAAAAGACCGAGTCATATGTGATGGAGGAGTATGCATCTATTGTTGAAGATGATAAGGATTGTGCTGAATATCCTTGGGGTAATGTGGCTTATGAGAAGCTCATTTACTCACTAAAACATGCATTGGACAAGCAGAACAAATTACATTCAACTGAGTATACACTTGGTGGATTTCCATATCCGTTATGTGCTTGGTTCTATGAGCGCTTCCCAGATATTCGAGAGAAGTATATAATAGAGAATGAGTACTTTGATACCCCTCAGGTTCCCAGGATGTTACGTTATGTATATGTGGGAGAGCCTAAATTTCCCGAACTTTTTGATATGTTCAGTAGTCATGAAGTAAGTTACTTTTTTTTGTCTTTGTGTTAATATGTTGACGTATTAGTTTTTTTCTTCTCATAATATACTTTTTTGAATTAAACAGAGATATCGCAGCTTTACGGTATTGGATATAATTCCTACAGGAGAGGAATTGAATTCAATGCCTTTAATTGGACAATTACCATGCAGTCGGATTCGTTCAAAGGTACTTAACGCGGTTCCTTCAACTGGTGAATCACCACATACTCTGAGTCGATCAAAAGAATCGAATCGAACTCATGTTATTGGTGAATCACCACGTAGTCAGAGTCGATCAAAAGAAGCGAATCGAACTCCTTTTATTGGCGAATCATCTCGTACCTAGAGTCGTTCTAACCGTTCTACAAGTGACTTTGATGACAATGAATTATTAGACACAATATGTTTTGTAAGTTTTGATCTGAAGTTTTTTGGTTTTGTTTTTGTAAAAGTACAACATGTTTTTGAGCTGAAGTTTTCTTCTATATCTGAATTTTTGTTGTGTGTCTATTCTAGAGATTAACGATGGAGGTTCAAAGGCATGCAGAAAAAGAAAGAAGCACGATCGTGAAAGAAGTTTTCGATAAGTTTAAAAAGGAGGAGCGATCTGCTATTGTGGATGTGGTTTTTGTAAAAGTGAAGGTAAGCTAATTTATAGAGAATTTTTTTTATTTATGCTGATTTTATTCAGATTGATCATTGTTAGTAAATTTTTATCTAGGAATATTTCGATGAGAAGTTTGAACAGTTGTTTAAGATTGTCAACAAATCAAAAAGAATGGACGATGGCAATTTTGATTTGAGTAACTATCGAGAATATGATAGGGTGAACGACTGTTACGAACATCCATCGGATATTAATGATATTGATGATGCATCAGATAAAGTCATAGATGTAAATGCTACACGTGAGGAAGTGGCTTTTGAAGGCGATCAACATGTTCAAGAACAAGTTGAAGAGGAACGTTCCAGTGCTGATAGATTGAGTAGAGATGGAAATGATGAAGCGGAGTTATCAACTGAGAATATTGGAAGCAAGCAAGGTGCAGATAATCAAGTTGTTGAGACTGAAGAACATACTGCTCATGATGCATTGCGTAAAATCGCAGAGGATAATGCTACACGTAAGGAAGCGGTTGTTGAAGGCGATGAACATGTTCAACAACAAGGTGGAGAGGAACAATCCAGTGTTTGTAGACAGAGTAAAGATGGAAATGATGAAGAGGTAACAACTGAGAAAGGTGCAGATGATCAAGTTGTTGGCACTGAAAAACATGCACCGAGTTGTGCTTTGGAAAGTGATATGCAAAAGGCAATTTGTTTGGCAATGGAGATCAAGCACTTGTTGGTACTTTAAAACTGAAAGCGAGTGATGTGTCTAGCACTATTGGGAAAGACGATCGGTATGGAGGAGCACTAGCTATTTGCAAAGAACTTCTAGGTGGTGATACACAGAAAATTATTACTACAGGTATAAAGTGTGAAGTTTATAATATTTCAATGATACCTTAGATAAGAGCTGAAGTTTTGTTTCATGTTTTGTGTTTTTTGTAAAAACTACAGCATGTTTTTTTGCTGAATGTTTTGTTTTGTAACTTGTGAACTTCAGCTTTAGAGCTAAAGTTTTTTTTGTAACTGTCGAAGTTTTTGTTTGTGACTGGCTAACTTCATCCTTCTTAGAGTTAAAGTTTTAACTATTTTTTTTATAATATCCTGTAGTGGAATTTTCACCACATATATAAATTTTTTCTATGTTATATATATATATAGAAAAACTAGTTGATCTATTTCCCCCTCTTTATGAATATGCAGTGGAAGTTGAAACTAATTGTGCTTCAATTGACACAACTCAAAAACTCTCTGATGATGTTGAATTGAATGAAGGTAGAGTTGAGAAAAACCTTCCAGAGAATACTCCAATGCTCCTCGACATTGGTTCACAATTGAATGAAGCTGAAAATGCTGATATCGAGAAAGACATGCAGCCTGGGGAAACCACAGGGGAAGACAAACGTCAAGGTATTCTATAGATCATGAATTTATTATATTTGATCGAAGTATATTTTTTACAGTTTGAAATTTTACATACTTTATTTTCTTTTTTATGTTTTTGAATGATTTTTCAGAAAGACTCGAGGCAGCTCAAAAAGAATTTGGTGAGCTTATGCAGCTATATGAAAAAGGAGAAATACATATATTCACACTTGTTGCCTCAAAGACAGGTGTGAAGTGTGTTGGTATTATTTCATAAAATTTAGTTAGTATTATTTAGTTTTTTTTTTTTGAATGAAGATACAGGATATGTTGGAATGCAAACAACATATGTGTCTCAACACTTAGACTAGTAGTCATTTTCTGCAATTCGATTACAAGCTGTTTTTTTGCCTAATGTGTGTTTTGTATCAGTTTTATTTATGTTTATATTTTCCTTGCTTTTGTAGATGTCATCTGATGCATCGCAACTTCTTCCAAATCCTAAGAGAAGGAAGATTTCCAGTTCTCCTATGTGTGACACCGGTGATATCCTCAACTTCAATTTATGTTCATTTTCACTTGGTAGTACACAAGGTACTGATTCAGAAGGTAATTCTGCTGCTGTTGTTGTTCGTGAAGAGAGACAAGAACGTCGTGAACAATAGGGAGTTGGCCAAGCATCTGCCACGATGGCTGTGGGTTTTTCCCCTGCTACTGAACAGCAGCAGTTAGTTGTGACGGAACAGCAGGAAGAGCAAGCAAAAGGAAAACCATATAAAAAAGGGAAAAGGATTCGTATGGTGAGTATTTGGTTGAGATCTCCTTACGTAGTTCATAAACAAAAGCAAAGGGGGCAAGATTGGAAAGTTGGAAAGAATACACAAAGATGTCCCTTCCGTTATGTTAATCAAGACAGTGGATTGATGCAAAGATTTACAGAGTGGTTGGAGATGGACGCCAGTGAATATGATTCCAATTGATTCAGATTAGGTGGAGTTGATATTGCAAAATCATTCTTTACCGAGCTTATGGATCCTGACTCTGATCTTGTGGACGAAGTAAGTTATTAAGTTTGTTTTTTGAATTGGTTTTCAACTGCATTTCCCAAAAGTTCAGCTTATTTTTTTATAGTAAAGTTTTTGTACTGTAATTTGGAAAACTTTAGCTTTATTCATAGTAAACTGTTGAAGTTGTTATTTCATATGTTATCATTTGTTATTGTTCATTTGCAGCATATTGAAGTGGGCATATATTACTTGCGCAAAAAATATTGCTATCACCTTCCAAGTTATCCAAAATCAAGATGTGCAGTAACAGATTTACTTTTTGATCAGTATATGACTAAGTTGAATGGTATTCATCCTTCAGTAGAACAGATGGAGATAATTAAAAAAAATGAAGCAAAAGAGAATGGAGGATCAAAAAAAGAGCAAATAAAAGAGAAAGAGGATATCCAAACAACAAGTTGAAGAAGAAAAAGAGAAGCGGTTATTCAGCCACTCACGGACTTTACTTGGTTTGAGGAAGAATCAATGAATGAAAAGGTGGCCAACTACGTAAAAGACCTCGACCTTTCCTGTGGTATCTCATGGGCATCTGCCAGAAAAGTATTCTTTTCATTTAGACTTAAGCCAAGGATGGGCCAAACATCTACACACTACTTTTTTGGAATTCTGGACTTTAAAGATAAAATTATATATGTGTATGATTCCATGGGCAGTGTAACATATGAACCCGTGTTTGAACATATCAGAATTTATGTCTGGTTGATCCCACACTGTCTCAAATGCTTGGATTTTGGTGCACACTGTCACAAATCCTTTTTACCTACACCCCCGTAAAGGGGTATATAAGGGAGTTTTTTCAATTTAAAGTGACAATCGAAATGAGATTATTTATTTAAAGATTCAGAGTCACCACTTGGGATAATATATGGTGTCCCAAGTCACCGGTTCGAATCCCGAATCAAGGAAAAGATTGACTCTGTTTTACAGTCCGCGAACACAGAAATTCGGGTAAGGAATTATGTTAACCCGGGAGAAGGTGTTAGGCATTCCCGGATTCCGTGGTTCTAGCATGGTCGCTCAACTGTTATTATTGGCCTATTATCTGATTCTTAATACACTTTTAAACCTATGTGCATTTTAGCTTTAAACCGCTTTTAAATATTTTAAGGAAGATTTCAACGTCATCTGAAATACGTCTTTGGACCACGCCACATAAAATAAACCCACAATCCGAGGCACATTTTATTTAACGTTTTTAAGATTTGGATTTAGGTCACATGAAATGCACACCCGAATTTAGGAAGGATGTATCACAACTACATTACGGGAACCGTACCCGTAGCCACGATAATTTTATTATAACGCGCCAAAAGCACACTACAAGTGTTCATTTTTAATATCTAAAATAACATTTGTGAGGTCCATAGATGACACAGTTAAATGGCACACCTCAGCTCGACTTATTTTCAACAAACAAAATGCCAAACACCTCACTTTTCATTATTGTGTTCTGCCAGATCATAATATTAACACCAATGCATACGGTAACTGAAAAGAGCGCACATAGTCAAGCATGAGAAGGTAGTGAAATACTCTGACCCATTTGATGAATCACAAATCACTCCACTTAACATTTTAGATTTAACAGAAAGAGAACGCAGATCTAACTTAGAACTAACAACGAACATGATATCTTAATAGTCATATCCACAAGATGCTAGTATATTCCAATTAACTTTAATAACACCAGACCAAACAATTACTTAAACTACTTATTCAAACACTTTTAATTTTTAAATTGATGAAGGAGAATATTAAACTCAGAATATTAACCTCTTTTAACCATAATAGAATTTGAAAATTTAAGAGTGAGATGCAAGACTACTGCGAGGCACAAGAAACTGAAGTTAAAAAAAGACTTTCAAATCCTAAAACAGAGCTTACACAATACTCATGAACTACTCAAAATAGCAAGGATGAATTCTCATGAACGCGTCTAAACCAAATATGCACCAGTGATTCACAAATCTCAAATAATAAACAAACATGATTAAATCAAAGGCTAATATCATTCTTGTCACCGCTATTAGCACAATAAACAGAGCATCGTAAATAGACTGAAATAACATATGTATATGAACGAATTGAAACTCAAACCTCAAACCGGAAACAAAGAACAACGATTTCAAATCGAACCTCGACGGATAAACTCTTTATAATTAACTTCTGATCGAACACACGGACAAATGGAATGCCAATAACGAAAGTCCAAACTTGAACAGACGCACGCAGCGACAAAACGAACGAGCTACCAGAGATTCAGTGAAACCCGGACAGAAAACTTTGAACATAAACCTCGAGCGACGATCCCCACTTCAATTAGACTCCATAGCAACAAGATATTTCCAGCATAATTACAATCGACAAAACATAACCAGAAATTTCCTTGCTCTAACCTCAAACTGTCTGTGCGTATTAAGGAAGGAAGAAATTAGTTTCCTCCTTGTTTCACTACTGTTCCGTCCTCTCTTCACATTCTTTGTGTTTCTTTTTTAATCTCCGAAGCCTCTCTAAGGTTCAGCTTATCTTTAAAGTGGGGGTAAGGCGTTCGGTGGTCAAAATTTAGCCGGCGAAATCGCCGATTTACTGCCCATCGACGTTCTCTCTTAAATAACGAGGGAGAGACAGAGGGAAATCTAGGGAGGAGTGTTGACGATGGGTGTGTTAATGGTTGAAGAAAGTGAAGTCAAGGATGTGGGTTCTGATTTGCGGCGCTCCTTTTGCAGATTTTTAGGAGTTCTTTTTTTCTCCTTTATTTTAGGTGTTAGATACTATATATAGGGGCAGGGATTAGGTTAGGGGTATGGGCCTAGGAATTATGGGTTTGGGAATTATGGGTTAGGTCCAAAATTAGACCTAAAAATGGGTTGCTCGAGCCCAAGTTTTATACTTTCTCCGCGAACGGGACTAAGATACGACCTTATTTATTAATTAGTCCTACTTAAATAAAATAACTGTAAAAATAAGACTGATCATTAAAACAAACTATTTTTTTTGTATTTTTCAAGGTTAAAAATGACTAAGAAAACATTAATGGAATAATTTTTGTAATTTTTATTTTTCTTGTAATAAAATAAAGTAAAAGAGTAAAAATGAGTTGAAATAGCTATATTAGGCCTAAATTAAATATTTACGTGCTAAATATGAAAAAATCTTAGGGAGGGTCAAAAATCACATGTCTACACACACAATAAATTTTATGAAGAAAGTCCTGTGGAAAAATTTCAAATTAAGTGGATGAAGTCACCGCAACAGACTAACAAGTACGTATTTCGCATATGTTTTACCATTCATCTTATGTTTATTATTTTTTGTCATTGTGTTAACTATTCTTCAATTTCTTTTTCATGTGTTTTTTGTAGTGTTGATTGTGGTATATTTGCTCTTAAGTTAATTGATATGTGGTTGAATAAATAAGATGTCTTCAATTTCGATCAAAGTCAGTCATTAATATTCAGGAGAGAATTGGCTGCCAATCTTTGGGCTCATGGAAAGTAGAAAAAAGATAGCAGTTATGAAACTCCAGAAGAACAAGAAGGACATGATTATGGAGATTTTGAAGAGACTCTGTGTGAATTTTTTTATTAGAGGATTGGTGGAACATAATTTGAATTTTGTGAGTATACATTAATTATTTTTTTAGTTCACTTTTGTTCATACAAATATGTTTGTGTCTTTTATCATGAATTTTAAGTATATTTTTGTTGAAAAAACTTAAGCATGAGGTAAATGACTTATACTTTTTAAGCTGAAGTTTTGGTTAAAAGTCATAACAAAAGTGTCGATTGTAGGACAAAAACTTCAGCTTATCAAGTGCTGAAGTTTTTAGAAATGCACCAAAAAACTTCAGCACATTGGGCTGAAGTTTTTTGAAAAAGCTTTACGACAAAAACTATTGAATCCAATACAAAAACTTAAGCTTATCAGGTGCTGAAGTTTTTAAAAATATACTAAAAAACTTCAGCATATTGGGCTGAAGTTTTTTGAAAAAGCGTTACGATAAAAACTATTGAATCCAACAAAAAAACTTCAGCTTATCATGTGCTGAAGTTTTTAGAAATACACTAAAAAGCTTTAGCACATTGGGCTGAAGTTTTTTGAAAAAGCGTTACAACAAAAACTTTAGCATGTTTTGGTATTTTTTTAACTTGATACTTATCTTTTTTGCATTTTCTAGCTACTTTTTGTCATTTATCACCTATATCACCTACTTTTTCTGGCCTTATTTTTTACTATTTTGTTATTGCATTTACCAACTACTAGCATTTACCACTTACTTGTTTTGCCAACTACTTATCTTGTTACATTCAATTTCTCTGAACAAAAAGCAGTTAACAGTCTCTTCAGCATTTATAGATATTAAATTAATTAGTTGCACTCTTTGGCTATATTAACAATCTCTTCACTTGAAAATTTCATAGTCATCCATAGACTTCTATCATATTTCTTTAAATTTGTATTCAAAGAAAAACAAGAAAATGTTGGCAAAGACATGCTTATTGGGTGTAGCAGGGAGTTCATGGGAAGCAAAGATAATGACGGAAAAGTCGAAATACTTCATATGTGAAGGAGAGTGGCTAGATCAAAAACTCGAGCTC